AAGTGGCTTCAATGGATTGAGTGCATGGAGAGTGCAATATTTTTGTCGCGATGAAAATTTTTTGATATAATTTCGTTAAAATTAAAGATAATTTGATGGAATTTCGGATTTCGGATTTTCATACGGTTGTCATCCAGGATCTCAAAAATCAGTGATGATCGTGCATTTGAGAACGGCAACAATTCAAAATCTGAGGGGCTGCTAAGTGTAGATCAGGATAAGAGCTTGCATCCGCCCTTGTGGTGGCGTCTCATTCGGAACCGTGTCGGTCAACTTCCTCAATTCAGTTATGCGTCAAGCGATGGAGGGTTACCACAGTAACCAAGTTTCCGTAGACTGCTAGTTTGCAGATATTAAATTCGATGACGATATAGTGCTTAGGGAGGAAATAACCGCTTTCCAAATGGTTCTTAACCGCATCAAAGGATACCCTTTGGAGATCGGCCCCGAGATCAGCCTCGACAAAGCAAAAGTGTTCTTGACCTCCCCTGACCAGGCGAACGTGCCCTTTCATGGAGTGGTCAAACAACAGAAATTTTCCAAGGGTTTAAATACCTCAAAGTCAAAGTTTTGAAATTTGAAGTTTTATTATGGGAAATACTTATAAGGGGTCGCTTTTCTCGTTTCATAGGGTTTGGCAAAAATGGACCGATTTGCGGTTGATATATGAGGAACGTCACAAATCATCTTTGTTTCGTGCACTGCTACGGATGGCGAAATTGAAAACTTGTCAAAATTTCAACCAGTTTTGCTTGAAATAACTAATTATGGGCGCAGAAACAACGTGGGTTTGTAGAGAATTCCAAATAGTGCATACTTAGTGCAAATGAATGACACCGGTATTCTAGTCTTTTGTGTCTTTTTACTTCCTTTTTTATTATTTATTGAATATAAAAATGTACAGTAAACATTCAGGAAGAGGGCCGGGGCCATACAAAGGCTGCCTGGAGAATATAGAACTAGGGAAGACGGGCGGTGGTGGAACGGTTTGAACCCGGGACTCCTGGGACCTAGCCACTTGGTCACCATTTTTGGAGCACTACTTTGAATGAGTGCCCCCTGAGGTAAGTCGGGCAACAAGGCGAACAGTAAACGACATGGGTGATCAGGGTTCTGCATTATTTGATACATCAAAATCAAGTCCCATCAAATTCGGTGATACTGTGTAGACTACAGCCCCAATGATTCCAGTCCTTCCACATAGGCCTTGGAATGCAGTCCCTAGACCATTTCGGTGGTCATTCGTTGTGGACGTTACAGAACCTTACGATCGCATTCCAGCCATGGATTGCACTCTTGAATTGTATACTCTATGTGGGGGTCGAATGTGGAATCGATCACAATGCGGAGCGGACAAGCAACGGATGACGTCAAGCGAGTCACTGACACTCAGCCTTGAATTACCACGAGGCACCAGAACAATATCAGTCAAGAAACAGCCACTTTACTAGTTTTACTATACAGTTGAGGATAGCAGATAAATCAATGTGTTCGATCGTCGATCTCGGACTCATAGTAAAGATAAGTTGAAGTGTCCTAACCTCTAATGAGAGCCTTAGAAACCGGCTTTTGTCACCAATATCGCCCTAGCAACATATTCATGTCCTGACTAGAGCCAAAAACGAAGGCAGGGATAAAAATCCAACTGAACAGTGTTCGAAGACAAATCAACTTGTTCTCGTGTGTTGTACGATACTCGTGGGTGGAAAACTAAACGCAAAACCGCCATGTAAACGCTGCTGCAAACAGAGACATCCATGAAACCATTCTATCGTTCTCAGGGAGACAATCGTGGTAAAGTTAACAATTGAAGTTGACTCAAAGTTCTGAATATCTCAAGTCGTTCAAAGATGACACATCAGCAAACATTATGCACTCAAAATAGAAGTCATTAGTGAAAAAGAAAACAGATTCTGCGACCTTCCGGTTTTTTCCTGTGGGTCCCGTGCAAAAGCGACCAGGCCTTCGTGCTAAGTGACCGTTTCAGTTTCAGTTTTTACAACCACCAACCATCGAATTCCGTGCACCGGAGTTGGTTGCTGTCTTTTGGTCGCCCATTTGGATAGAAGAGCAGAACGAAGAGTAACTTCAATGGAAAGACAGAGAATTCATATAGATTAGGTTTGTAAGAATGGGTAGATGCATGATAGCCACTGCAACACTTAGCTATATCACTCGGTTACCGTGGTCTCGGGGTCCCCATCCAGGGAGCTTAACGCAACCTACAGGACCAAGTCTCTTGGTTAGAATTTTCATAGCCTCATGCCCGGTCTTGGTTTGACCGCCCATGCCCTTTCTCATCTGCTGCTTACCTCGGGAAACATCGATGGCCGTGGCAACCTATGCGGTGGCATGCGCAACACAACCCTCGTAATCTATGGAGGTCGATCACTGGCTCCAATGGACGATAGCGATTACCTTAAACTCTAAGCCTCCCTCTAGCATTGCTCGTCCGATTGCCCCAACAGATTCGTGCAAGGCTGCATAGACCGCGTGGTTCAAACAGCTGTCTAATTTATGCTGTCTCTGTAATTGCCAAATCTCTGCACCGTTAAACAGCACTATATAGACAAGCTTGTAACTTACTTTTTCATTGCATTTATTTTGGTGTGATGAACAGCGGACGGGGTGGACCCCATAGTCATGAGGACTTGCTGTTCAGTGATGGCAACCGGTAACCTAAGCCCCGAGACTTGGAGTGGCGAACCACATAAGGCTCCACTAGGACGAAGGGTGGATCTGTCTGACACCAAAGTTGGGTGGCCGTTGCGGAACTCGAACCTCGGAGCACAGGGCCCAAAGCGCACCGATGACAGCGACTAAACCAATGCGTCACCACTTGGTTCTCCACTTAGCAGTACAATGTCATCTGCATACTCTAGATTAAACAGTCTATAACCTGGGAGGAAATCGATACCGCTCTTCACGCACGCGGCTAGATCTGTTTCAAGAAAGCAATCTATGACAAAGTTAAATGGAAATGGAGACGAACACCACTTCCTGTGGTGAAGTTGGGCGAAAACGTATAGTAAAATCGGACCCGGCTTCGGCTATCAGTACAAGAGGATCGTCAAATTAGAATCAACTTCTCGAGCACACCCTTCAGAGAAAGGCGCTATGTCGTTTTTGTTACCAGCGGGTCCCAGGTGAAGA